TCAATTCTATTTTGATTCAGATCAAATAACCCATTACATGATCATATACCTAAGAATTTTCAAAACTTTGAGTGAAAATATCTTGATAACCATAAAATCAAATTTAATAAATTTTTTTTTATTTAAATCCTATTAACACATAGAATCCAAATAAAGAAGTTTTCAATGAATTTAATCAGGTAGTTATCGAGATATCTTCACTTAAAGTTAAAGAAAAATCAAAACGTCTTAACAGAATAGAAACTGCGCCAAATTTTTTCTCTAATTTTGAACAAAGATATCTTGACACCCACCAAACAAATTCGATAAACATTTTTATTTGAATTTTTTGGATTCATAGAATTTGAATAAAAAAATTTTCATCGAATTTAGTCAAGTTGTTGTCGAAATATCCTTGCTCAAATTAGAGAAAATTTTGGCATAGCTTCTATTTTGATAGACGTTTTGACTTTTCTCTAACTTTAAGCGAAGGTTTCTCGACAACCACCTAAATAAATTTGACAAATTTTTTTTTTATTCAAATTCTATGAACCAATAAGATTTAACGAATTAGTTTTATGGTTGTCAAGATACCTTTGTTCAAATTTTAAAAGAATTTGGTATTTTGGTAGGCATTTTGATTTTTTATAACTTTGAGCAAAGTTATCTCAACAACCTCCTGATTAAATTCGATAAAAATTTTTTTATTCGAATTCTATGGATTCATAAAATTCAAAAAAAAAAGGTTCTATCAAATTTGGTTTGATGGTTTTCAAGTTATCTTTAAAAAGAATTTAGTGCAGCTTCTATTTTGATAGGCATTTGATTTCTTTTCTAAATTTGAGCGAAAATATCTCGGCGAACACCTTACTAAATTCGTGAAATTTTTTTTATTCGAATTCTATAATCCATAGAATTCAAACAAAAAAAGCTTTATTGAATTTAGATTGATGGTTGTCGAGATATCTTCGATAAAAGTTAAAAAATTTTGGTACAACTTCTATTTTATAGGCGTTTTGATTTTTCTTTAACTTTGAACGAAGATATCTCGATAATTATCTGACTAAATTTGATGAAAATTTTTTTATTCAAATTCTATGAATTCGTAGAATTCAAATAAAAAAGATTTATTGAATTTGGTTTGATGGTTATCGAGACATCTTCGCTCAAAGTTTTGAAAATTCTTGACATATGATCACATGATGAGTCACTTTTCCCGGATCAAAATAGAATTTGCCAAAAAAAAAAAATTATTAAATTTAAAACAGTAGTTGTTATCGTTACGTATACAAGAAGTAAATTTGTAATTTCAAGTTTTTTCGCAAACCCCTGTACAGTATTAGTGTTAGATAGACATGATTTGGTTTTAATTGGTCATTTGTTTTCTGGGTCAAGTTGATGTTAATGATGGTAGAAATTGTCACATGAATCGGCCAGCTTTAATATCTACATTGTAACTTACATATGGACCATGTAAGTTACAGAGTAAATTATCGTAACTTACCATGTAAATTACGTTGTCAGATAATTTTAACAATCCTACTACTATACTATCAGTGAAACGATTCATAATGCTAAATAAAAAGTCAATTTTTAAATCACATCTAATTTTCTTGAGAGGACTAAGGATTTATTAACAATTTTATTATATCAACTATAATGAAAATGGTACAGCTAATACAAATAAGGACTTTAAAAGCCCATCTTATGACTTAGTAACAGTAAATCTACAATCATCGGCATAACAAATTTTATAGAATTTATTATCTTTATAAACTTTATGCAAAAAAATCCTGCGATCATAGTGAATATGATTTCCCCAATGGTAATGATATTTATTAATATATAATGGTTTTGTCCAATGGTAATGATGTACTTGGTCTTGAACTTCTCCCATTTGAACTTTTGGTCCAATAATTTGGATTGAGTTGCGAAGGTTGTTTGTTAAGGATTCCGAAGAGCCGGCATCAGCTTCAGTAGAAAGTTCAGCAGATGGATCAATATTGGAGGATGCAGCGGGATCTAACTCCATCTCCCAAATGTCACCGGTTTCAGGTAATGCATCTAAAGAAATTTCATCGATTTTTGGTTGAATTACGTTTGCGGCAACGAGATTGTAAATAATAGAGAGAAGAAAGAAGAGAGAAATGATGGTCTTTAAAGAAGACATTGTAATTTATTCGATGTGATTGTTTTTTTTCTTGAGAATTGGAAAATTTTAAGGCATTAAATACTTTTTTTTTTAAAGTTTGACTATAGTTCGATCATTTTTAAATAACTATTATTTGGCGCGTCTCGATTCACGAATTCTGATTAATAAGGCGTTTTCATCAATCACACTTCGCGACAATGACATGATTATTTATGTAGTCTGATTTTACGTATGTATGTCATGCGCGATTACATTTAGCAAGATTTATTATAATTTAATATTAACAGTTAACGTTAAAAAATAAATAAATACGTAAAATGTAATGCCGAATACTTGACATTCCACGTGATCATTGCTCGCGAAACGGGCAATAATAGAAAAATTGACTACAACTGATTTATTTCACGGTTCTTTATGCTTCCAGGCTCTTTCTTTCTTTCTTTTTTTTTTTTTTTACCCGGCGATATTTATGTTGTAAGTGGGAATGGAATTATAATAGGTTCGGGATCCACTTAGATTAGATACTAAAAATCCTAACCTTAAAAATTCCGAATCAAATTAATTCTGCATCCACTTACGATACTTATACAGTATCTAGTCAGAGTGACGGTAAGAAAAATTAATGAATATTAAAGGAGTGAATTTTAGAAGTGCATAACAAGAAGAAGTTTGGGCAAATTTTCGAAATCGGCATAAATAGCAGCGGAATTCTAAATAAACTTGATAAGAAATTTAATATTTACTTAAGATATGAACTAAAATTAAAATTAATCAAATTTTTATAATTTGTCAGCAATTTTTACTCATTTATTAAAGACTAACAGTC